ACACATATTATCGCATATTTTATTTATTAGCACATACATATTTTGAGATTTACCACCACATATTTCTGGACACCCTAGGTAAAATATCTGAACTGCAATTATTGTAATAGGACTATTTCTGAACTGCGACTATTGTTTTGGAAATGACTGAGTTCATTAAACTAGTTTTATTTAGTTGAGTTGCGCATAGACTAATATTTCCTTTTCTATATATATTTGATATATATAGGTCATCAAGAGAGTTATGAAGAAGATTTGATCTTACGAGAACAGTTGACAACTTCTTTAGGACAAACAGGAACTTTCTTTGTCGAATTTGATCAACCACGTGATTTACTAATAGAACTTTCAACTTTTTTGACTCAAACTGAAAATGGGTTCCAAGATCTCTAAGAAGCTTATAATACACTATACTAAGATTTCCTTCAAGTTCAGCAAGAAAGGGATTTACTCCAAACAAATTCTCAAGCACAAGCTATACGAACTCAAGAATTATGAGAGACTTTAGAAATAATTCATAGACAATATCAGTTTATTATGCAACAACTCCTTGATCGAAGTATAGAGTATGGATTTTGTGAGAGATTTTGTCATTCTCGTGAGGATTAAGTATAAAATTTTCTTTTATGTTCATTTTTCTGACTAGTTACTATTAATTTCTATTCGAGGGGAATGCTGTACGCTTTGGCTGTCCTTGAACTACGCTTTGTCATACGCTTCAGCTATTCATGAGACTACGCTCCCCTTCCTCTCTTTTGTAGCAAGATTTATTTTCTTCTTATTGTTAATGTAGTTTCTAGATAATCTTCTTCTATACCATTGTGATTTTGCTTATTAATTAATTTTTTTAGTAAATTTGTTATCCTATATTGTTATTATTTTACTAAAATATCTCTTTCACGATATGTGGCGCAGTAATAATGAAGATCTCTATCAAAAATTTTCTAATGGTTATTTTTAGCACGTTTTCTTGAATATCTCGGCATCCTGTAATCCGTTCGTAATGTAACACATATCATTTCGAAGAGCGCATCTTGGCGCACACAATGGTTCTTGTTTCATAAAATTTGGATCGATAGATCACGAGATAATGGCCTCCGTAACTATTGTATTATTACACTATTTTATAGAAATTGGTTTTTATGGCGCAACAAAATCGTTCAAGATTGATTTATCTTCAAATTTCTTTTCATTTTTAATATTATTACAATTATCTATGATATTGCTGATTTCAGATATGATTCTTAAAAATTTTTTTTTTCTACCAAAGTGTTTGATAGGATGACACAAAATCAAATAAAATTCCAATGTAAGTGTTTTCTACGGACCAAGAGTGTTTTATGGGTGACAACCAAATAAAATTTCCAATGTGAGTGTTTTTATGGCTGACACATAACCAAGAGTGTTTTATAGATGACACATAACCAAACAAAATTTCCAATGTAAGTGTTTTCTACAGCTGACACCAAGAGTGTTTTATGGGTGATACATAACCAAACAAAATTTCCAATGTAAGTGTTTTCTACAGCTGACACCAAGAGTGTTTTATGGGTGATACATAACCAAACAAAATTTCCAATGTGAGTGTTTTCTATGGCTGACACATAATCAAGAGTGTTTAATAGGAAGACACTAAACCAAATAAAATTCCAATGTGAGTGTTTTCCACAGCTGACACATAACCAAGTATATTTTATAGGTGACACATAACCAAACAAAATTTCCAATGTGAGTGTTTTCAGAGGCTGACACCAAATCAAACAAAAGGGTTAATTACCCAGACAATAATCTATTAACAACAGTATATATATATTTATATTTCAATAAAAAATTAATATAAATTTTCCTTGAAAATTATAAGTTTTATAACATATTTTATGGAAATTCAATGTATTATATATGTTTTTTCATTAGGTAAAAAACTTAAACTTAATATGAAAATGTGGAAAAAACATATACAAAAAGCATGTATTTCATAATTAATAAACATGTTTAAAAAATATGTATAAAACGTATATTTCATAATTAATAAACGTATACAAAAAACATGTATAAAACGTATATTTCATAATTAATAAAAATATTCAAAAACATGTATAAAATGTATATTTCATAATTAATAAACGTGTTCAAAAAACATGTATGTATATTTTATAGATATTAAATCATGTAAATTTATTAATATAAAAATTAAAAAAATTAAA